TTGAAAAAACATCCAAGATTTTTAACCAATAGGTTTGTTAAAATTTTACGAATATTTTAATATATTGGTAAGTTACTAATTGCACATAGAAATTAAATGTAATGATACACCATTATAATTAATATTTAAAATATTTACGAGAAGGGAGCATATTTGTTGCATTTGTAAAAAAAAATTTTTTTAAAGTCAATCAAATACTTTTTGATATTTATTTTATTTATTGCATTAATATTTTATTAAAATTAATAGGTAATTTATCCAAGATTTAATTAAAATAAAATATTGTCCTAAAAATAAAGTTTAGGTTCATGACATATCAAATTATAATTTTAAAAAATAACGGACGCGTAAATAGAAAATGAACTTTAAAATATTCTTTTAATTCGTTCAAAACTTTATTCATTGTCTTGTGCAATTTATAGATAATATCATGATTGTAAAATGTATCGTTATGCATAATGGGAGTTTTTTAAACGTTAATTATATCTATCAGTGTATGAGAGTAAAAATTTGTAAAGAGTTATTTGGTATTGTTATTTAAGGTTATGAGAACAGCTTTGTTTTTTTCCCCTGTGTGCAATGAATTTCCTTTATTCAAAGGAAGCTTTAAAAGTTCAAAAAAAGGTTTATTTAGGATATTTTTAAACTCATTTTATATCATTAAAGTTTTCATTTTTGTAAAAATATTCATTGTGTGTATATATAAATATATCACGATTTGAATGTGATAATGTGTTGTGAAAAGGGAAATAAAAGTTGACCTGTAAACAGGATATTTATTTGCTAATCATTGTATATATCATACAGAGTAGAGTGTATATAACATTTGTGAGGTAAATAATTAAAGAACGAGCTTTACCATTTTTATATAAATTAAGATGTTTATTAGTGTTTTTGAAATGTTTCCCTAAAAATAAAAATCCATATTTCATATGACAATAACAGCTAAAGAAAGTTAGACAATATCTTTAGTATCTAAATTTTAGCAATTCATATAGACTTAATTTTATGTTTAAATGATTTTAAAATGTTATATATTTCAAGATATATTTTTTTGTCTTTTAAATTTTACATTTAATTTCAAAAAATGATGAAATATTTTAATTTGCATGTTTTGAACTTCTATCCTATGAACTTCAATTCTGTTTTGATCAGTTTTTACTTTTTCTTATTACACAATTAGTCTTTATACTGAAGTTAAAACAGGTATTAAATTTATATCTTAAAATTAGAAAGATCCGATTATTATTAGGAAGCGAACTTCAAGTCATGTAAGTATAGATTATGCTTTAACCCTCTGCATTCTTTCTTGAGGGTACACCCTTTTGAATTTTTGAAGTTTTAAAATTTCAATATTTATTTCAATATTTTCAGCCACTTTAATCTGTAACTGTCATTATATATTAGTTAAGTTTTCTCTTTAAAAATTAAGAGCTTGTATTTGTTTTATTAGCATATTGTGAATGCAAAGGGTTAATTTTATTAATCGCAGAACTATTTTTTATTCAGTATAACTAAGACATTGTGATTTTCACAAGTAAGTATGCATTTTATTAGTCATATAAAGTTTATGAATTTTTTTGAGATCAGTCCCTTTATTTTCATAGATGTTGCCAATTTTAATTTTAAAACATATAATTATATATTATATATAATTATAATAAAACATTCTAGTTATAAATAACCATCTAGTTTTTACAAAGTTAGATATTACATAAAAACTAATTGAGTTTCAGTAGCAAGAATAACTATTAAATCATTTTCTGCAGGAAATTTTATTTAAAAGTAAAGAATATCAGTGGTCGGAAAATCTACATTATTTTTGTACTGAACTACAAATACAACGTATTTTTTTCTTCTGAAAGTAGTGACGACAAACTACCTTCGAAGGCAGTCATTGCCTTCCTGGAGAACTTAATTTATACTTCTTTAATCGCTTCCCTGATTATCCCGAGTTAACTCGGGTATGTATATATTGCAAAGATTTATTATCCGGAGTAAACTCGGGTATGTATNAAAAAAAAAAAAAAAAAAAAAAAAAAAAAAAAAAAAAAAAAAAAAATATAATAATAATCTGCTGGGATTGGAAGTTTGACAAGTTTTGTTTGCGAGTTTTGCTGTTGGATTGTGGGACTTGTGAGATTTTATGTAAGATGGTTGCTGAATTTACGTAGAAAAAAAGGGTAAAATAATGGCGCATCAGCTCACCGATGCTTGGAAAGTATCACTTTGTATTGTTCCTTGTTTTAAAAATTATATCATACAAAGACTATTATTTAAATTTTCTCCTTTTCCCCTTGATAACTCGGGATAGTAAATTGATGGTAAATTAAATGTTTTTTATAAATTGAAAAATTTAAAATTTCAACTTAAAACTTGTGAATTAGGTTTAATTTTAGTTCCCTGAATTTATTAATGAAATAAAAATTATGTTGATTTTTAGCATTTTTTCCCCAAAAAAATTGATAAGGGAAGCGGTTAAGAAGCAGTCTGCTTGATTGTGCCAGTTTAGGTAACCCAATAAGTGCATAGTGGTAATATATTCCTTTTCAAAAAGTTAAATCTGTGTCAAAATATCTATTAATATCTATGCAAATATCTATTATTACATATATAAAATTAGATCTTAAATTTAATGATGTATTTTAGTGCGTCAGAGATGCCAACTTGCTGGAGGCAAAATTTATGTTTTAAAGAATGTTTCTTATTTTAGTAATTTCGATTTATCGAGTTTATACCTACCATTATTTCTAAATAATTCAAAGATTTATGCAAAACGGCACTTCGTTGCTACAGCTGGGCTGAAAGTTCATATAAATCAAGACGGAAAAGAGTAAAAATTGGTAATAAAGAANATATATATAATAATCTGTTAGGATTGGAAGTTTGACAAGTTTTGTTTGCGAGTTTTGCTGTTGGATTGTGGGACTGCACGCGTATCTTGTGAGATTTTATGTAAGATGGTTGCTGAATTTACATAGAAAAAAAGGGTAAAATAACGGCGCATCAGTTCACTGATGCTTGGAAAGTATCACTTTGCGTTGTTCCTTGTTTAAAAAATTATATCATACAAAGACTATTATTTAAATTTTCTCCTTTTTCCCTTGATAACTCGGGATAGTAAACTGATGGTAAATTAAATGTTTTTTATACATTGAAAAATTTAAAATTTCAACTTAAAACTTGTGAAGTAGGTTTAATTTTAGTTCCCTGAATTTATTAATGAAATAAAAATTATGTTGATTTTCACATACCTGCCAACTTTTACGCATTTGGCGTAAAATTTTATTTTTATATTTAAAGTGGTAGTAAATAGATACTATATTTTCTTTTATAAACATAATTTTTAAATGATTTTGATCACCACTATTCTTAAAAAGATTAAGCATATATGTTAATAAGCGTTACTATCATGGTTGACTGCTGATAGTATTTCAAATACAACGTATTTTTGTGCACATAATTGAAGTTTTAATTCCATTTTACTACCACTGGGAAAAATTATAATGGAAGGGATTAAAAGTTGGCAGGTATGTTTTCAGCATTTTCCCCCCCAAAAAAATTGATAAGGGAAGCGGTTAAGAAGCAGTCTGCATACCTGCCAACTCTTCCGGATTTTCCGGAAGATTTTATTTTCATATTTAAAGTGGTAGCAATACTCAGGTTATTCCAATTAGCTTTTTGAATTATAATGATAATTATAAATGAGTTTGACCACCACTACATATAAATCATTATAATAAATATATGAAAGCATATTAATCCTTGCGCAAGCGAATTTCAACGGGATCAAAATATAAATATATTTTTGAGTCAAATTGTTTTTCATTTATTGTTTTACAACCACTCTGAAAATCCATTCTCGGAAAGAGTGAAAGTTGGCAGGTATGAGTCTGCTTGATTGTGCCAGTTTAGGTAACCCAATAAGTGCATAGAGGTAATATATTCCTTTTCAAAAAGTTTAATCTGTGTCAAAATATCTATTAATATCTATGCAAATATCTATTATTACAAATATAAAATTAGATCTTAAATTTAATGATGTATTTTAGTGCGTCAGAGATGCCAACTTGCTGGAGGGAGCGGATACACATTTTCTAGTGGTAGCAAAATTTATTTTTTAAAGAATGTTTCTTATTTTAGTAATTTCGATTTAAAGAGTTTATACCTACCATTATTTCTAAATAATTCAAAGATTTATGCAAAACGGCACTTCGTTGCTACAGCTGGGCTGAAAGTTCGTATAAATCAAGACGGAAAAGAGTGAAAATTGGTAGTAAAGAAATATCATTTTTATCAAATTTTTGGGATGAATAAAATATACATGATTACCAAGGTTTTATAACGGATACGATACGTTCATAGCACTGCGTCATCCCCATGAAATATTTCATAGCAAAGGATAGTTTATTGTGAAGAATGGATTTACTCCTCCAAAACACATTATACAGACAAACCCCGCTATAAGTGAACTCCCGGATATAGTGAACGAAATGATCACTCCTGTGTCTTGCTATACACATATAATATTATTTTTTGTGGATATAGTGAACCAAAAGAAGAGAGGAAATCGGTTATTATGAACTTTTTTCTTTCTTCGACTGATTTTTTTCCTTCGTTTTTTGGTAATTTTGAAATTTCTGCATCAAATACATGTCAAAAAAGAAAACTTAATTCTTTTTCTACTTCAATAGAAAAGGTATCAATAAAAGATTTCTTACCTTGTTCTTCTACCCGGGCGGTTCGTACCTGAATAAGTCTTAGAAGAAATGACCACATACTCAAGAATGGTTAAAAGGTGTATATTAACGAAACAACACTACATAAAACAACACGCTCTCTCGTTCGCCAGTAACACAACAACTCTTAAAATATTGTCGTTCTTAGAGTTCTATATCCAGTGGCGCCATCTAGTATGTCCTCTGGCACGGAAAATGGTATTCTGTTTTTAACACTCCCCTTTTTGAGTTTTGGGGCATGTTGAACCGAATCTCAATACTTCATTGTCCAAATCTGGAGGATGGGCGAACAACACGTCCAACTCTGGTAGTAGCAGGAGTGGAATCAGGAATGTCCGATGATGGTCCTTCTGGCTCATCTTTGGAAGTCTCTGGCAGCTGGTCTTCGCTGTTGAGATTCTCCTCGTCCATTTCTAATGGGCAGAGATTTTGAATTTGTCTGATCAGAATTCCTGATTTGGTCTTAATTTTGGCTCTTCTGATCAGTCCATCTTTACTTGTGTAAACTGAGAGTATTCTTCCCAAGGGCCAATGTATTCTTTTGAGATTATCATTCCAAATCAAGAAGATATCTCCAACTTTAGGATGGTATGTTGGTTTTCGAACTGTCAGTCTATGATGTAGGTGACTCAGATATTCACTACGGAATCTTGCTCGTAAATCTGTCATCAGTCTTCTTCTATACACAAGTCTTTTGTTTAATTCCGTCTTGTCAGTAAGCTTTAATCTATCCAAGTTCGTAGTACTATTAGTGCTAGTGTCTTCCAGGAATAAATCAGGTGTTAAAGGACATAAATCATCAGGATCATCGCTAACATATGTTAAAGGTCTTGAATTGAGTTGGCGTTCACAATCACACAAAACAGTTTCATTTTCCGGGTAATTCAAGGATGTATGACCTAGGACCTTCCTCAAAATTCTTTTCAAAAGTCCTATTAACCTCTCAAAAAATCCTCCTCATCATGGAGCAGTCGGAGGTAGGAATCTCCATAAAATTGGAGAAAAGGTTGTCTTTAGTCTTTCTAGGTTGATATTCTTCAGAGAGTTGTTAGTTACAATAAAATTAGTCCCATTGTTGGAGTAGATAATTGACGGACGTCCTCTACGTGCGACAAATCTTCTTAGGGCAAGTATGAAATTATCTGTTGAAAGTGATGTCAATAGTTCTAAGTGTATTGCCCTATAAATCGCCCAGGTGAAAATTGCGATCCACACTTTCTTGTTGTCTTTCGTAAGCAATGGTCCAGCAACATCCACTCCTATAACTTAAGAAATTGAGGCATTTTTTACTCTATCCACTGGGAGTATTCCTTCTGGTATTTCAGGTCTTTTCACATTAAATCGTTGACAAGTTATGCAGGTTTTCATTACCTTTTTTACAGTTCTTCTAGCTTTTAATATCCAGTAATCTTCTCTCAGAGCTACCATTAAAGATTGTACTCTAGAATGTGCTCTAGATTGTACTCTAGTCTGTGTAAAATAAGGCTCTTAACAACATGATGATCAGATGGTAAAATAATTGGAACTTTAAAGTTTTCATTGTCTTCTCGCATAATGATTTTTGTTTTAATTCTCACAAGTTCATTAGAGTCTGTAAATATCAACAGGAATATCAGACTCATACTCAAGAATGGTTAACAGGTGTATATTAACGAAGCAACACTACATAAAGCAACACGCTCTCTCGTTCGCCAGTAACACAACTACTCTTAAAAAATTGTCGTTCTTAGAGTTCTATATCCAGTGGCGCCATCTAGTATGTCCTCTGGCAAGGAAAATGGCATTCTGTTTTTAACACATATACTGATTTTTAAAACAATGTAATGAGAGGAATGTAGCTATAAGCATTTTTTCTTGTTTGCTTCTTCTATCTCAGTTTCCCATCTCTAAATAAAGGCCATCCCTAAATTTTTTGTACGCAAGACGAAGAATAATAAAAAATATAAGTTACTACATTTTTTGTTACTACATATTGTTTAATCATTTTTGCATTTCTTTTTCATGGTCATTTATTGAAATAATGGGTAATAAAAGGGAGCAGTTCGGAAAAATAAGTTAAAATTATTTGCAGTAAGGATATAGTGAACTCCCGGTTGGTTATAGTGAACCGAAATTTTGGTCCCTTGAGGGTTCACCCTAACGGGGTTTGACTGTATTATTGAAAAGGTTCCACTATTATTTTTCTCTCTTTTCTGAATCACTTTTAGGCCTGCACTTGGTTCGAGCTGAGCCTTTTATATAGTTGGTGAAATTAACCGAAAATCAAATTTTAGCTATATACCGATCAACAGTTTTTTAAAATATTTTGCAGAAACCCCGGGGTAGTTGACATCTCTGGTGCGCATGGATTATCTTTAATACCTTAGGTTCATATCAAAATAACTTTTCTAGCACTTTTTAAGCCTTGAGCTATTTATATATAAGAAAAAAATAAGTAGGGGAAAGTGGGGTCAATTGTAACATTTTTTACTCAACTATTTTTAACTAACAAAAAATCCATTATTATTAATCGACAGACGAGTAAAGTAGATTATCCTCTACTAGAGAAAAAAAAAACCTTATTTGTAATGCTATTATATTAGTTATTAGCAATTTTTGACAGTCGTGCACTTGTTACAATTGTCCCCACTTACGGGGTCATATGTGACAGTTCATAAATTTAACTAAAACATAGTTAATTATACATATTATCATAGTTGTGATATACTTTTTATTGATCCAAATAGTAGTGATATTTTAGGAGTAAAAGTAATAATGAGCAGACACCTAAAGGGTTACACTTTTAACTTTAAGGGGTTAAAAATTTTAATTTATGCTGTGAAAGGTGACAAATAAAATAATGCACATGCAACATAATATAAATGATATAGGAAACTATTGGTGGTTCTTAAAGAGTTAAGTAATGGTCTGTAAACAAACGATTATTTATTTTCAGCTGTTACAATCGTCCCTTTACTTATAGTTACAATCGCCCCCAAGACGCCATTTCAGCTTCATTTGTTAGAAACAATGCTAGTTAATTAACAAAGCTAATCTTCTTTTTTTTGAAATGTTAATTAAAGTGTCCACTTACATATTCGGTTAATAATTTTTTTTGTTTAAACAAAATTACTTCGTTACAATATAATATTCTAATACCAAAAAAAGTACTTACGTAGCGTGAAAATATCTTTTGTGATGTAACGCGTTCAAAAGTACAATAAAATGGTTGCCAGCAGGGGTGTACATGTAGATTTATTAAATACACCTTGTGAGTCACCTAGGAACCAAATCTAGAACCCGATACTCGAAATTTTTGTTCTGTTACAATCGTACCCTGTTACAATTGACCCCACTCTCCCCTACTTTTGAATTGCATCAGGTCTTAAAGGGATATTCAATTAAGATATATTTATTCATTTTTACATGAGTTAGTTTGTTATTTTAAACCATTTTTCGTGAATTAGCTCCCTTAACTTTTAAATTCAGCTAATTTTAATTTGAGAAATACTTGGAAATTATCAAAAGTTTGCGATTTTGCAAAGGGTTTAATACTCTTTTATTCTTTATTTTTTTACTCTTTTACTAGATATGAAGTACGTCGAAAATTGCGGAGAAAATTTATTCCCAACCACTGAAATAATAGTAATTCGCATTTGAAGGTGTAGCTAAAAGGATAAATTAGCTATTATCCTAATGGCTAATTTAAATATTAGTACGTGATTCTTGTTAACTCTCGGCTACTGGGTCATTCTCATTACGTCCGTTGACAGACCATCAAAGATTTATACCAATCAGATTCGAAAAATTAGTTGTGTTTGAAACTATTTTCTTTACCAAATTAACATTAAGTAGTTTCCAGAAATCGAATTTTTTTAGGTAGCATATTACACTACAAACTACGAAAAAAGTAGCGACTACAGTAGTTTCGCTACTTGTAACGCTCTACTTCCGACCACTGGAGAATACAATATAAAATCTTTGTTTATTTCGACAGCAATTTAAGAACCTTGCAATGAGTTAAATGAAACAGAGGGACATTTTATATATAAATTAAAATTATTCATGCTTCGTAGTGAAAAAAATCACTCGAACCAAATTTAGCGTTCATCTAAGCAACCTACACCATTAATTTTTAATTTTATGAATTTAATCTGAATCATTCCGAGATTGAATAAAATAACAATATCAAACTATGCGGAGAGAAGTTTTTAACTTCTGCCCAAATTGACAAAAAATGTATAGTTGTTTTAATCATTTATTCCACACTTATTTATATATTTTGGATTACCACCAGAAACCTCACTTTTTTTATTTGGTATTATTATTATTTTTTTTTAACGAAAATACATAAAATCATGCAGAAGGTATCTAGTCATTCATTTAAATCTTCTGCAGATTTGGAAAACTTTTGGTTTAAAAATTAATTTTACTTTATTTTTAACTAAAAGTTCACTAGCGTAAGTAATATCCATGTGAAAATGTTTTATTATGTAAAAGCAAATTCCTTAAGCGTAATAATGTTATAAGAAAAAAATTAAATCACTTTTAAAACTAATCATTACGAGTGAAGAATTGAAAATATTTTGCTCTTATTTATTCGAAGAAATTGCAAATTGAGATTAATTCTATGAATGCAAAATAATATGTGTAAAAAATTAAACTGCTCGTAACTAATAGAAAATGCTCTTAAAATTGTTGCCGAAAGAATTTTACAACGGATGTTCTAGTCATAAATATGGCGAAAATCAATATTTTATGAGATAATAATTAAAGTTTTATTTTATTTAAGACAATTTATCGCTCTTATAAGACATAAATAAAAACTAAGCAAAACTTAGGAAAAGCTATCTTGAAGGAAAAAAAATTATTACTATTTATGGCTAAAATATTGCGTTGCCCTGAAGCACTTCTATTCACCAAGAATGTACCATCTGAAGTTGTATTTGCTTTCTCAGGAGTGCAAAATGCGTCAGAATATGAAAAAAAAAAAATCAAAGTTTAACTATCAGTTTACCTTTCAATATCATAGACATCTGGGCTTAGAGCTTGATATACATTTTGAATCATGCTAAACATGATTAGTAGTTATTTAACTCGAGGAAACAAAATTAAATACATATTTTAATTTCTAATCTAGGGTGCAGCTTGAACCTTTGCTAATTTGCAGTCTTCAAGCACCGAAAGAAAAAGTATGGTCAAAACTACCTGAATATGGTAAATTACCATGCTCCATGGGGATACGAAAAATCTCGGTGGTTTTACTGAAGTGCTTCGGTAATGATTTTGAACAATGATTATGTACAATAAAATAAGGTTTTATAATATGTGATAAAATAGGGTAAATGTGGCAAAATTTTGTAATTTTATCATTATATCTTAGAACATAGCATAAAAACCATCTATTCTGTTTAAATTTAATTATCAGTTTTGTATTTTTCACTAAATGGGAAGTAATAAGAGCTATTATTTGGAAAACTATAATTTCCGGTAAACCATTACCATATGAACGAAAAAATTACTAATCGAATGATTTAAATACCGTATATTTTATTTTTATTAACCAGAATTATTATTATTCTGTTTTTTACCATTGTCATTACAGTGCGGTAATTTTATAAGAATTTTTATTTCCCTGGAAGTTTTCCGAGACGGAAATGGGTAATTTATCTGTAGGAAGTATTTATGTGGTGTAGTTTTCCTGGCTTAAGCTTCACTTTAATGGTATAATAATTGTAATAATTTAAATTTATTAACTAAGAATTTATTTTTAGAGCTTATATTTTACAATACTAAAAATTAAAGTATTGCTAAAAATATTTTCACAAAAAGAGTAAAAGTTAGCAGCTGTAATATATTTCACTTGTAAAATAATACACCTACAATAATAAACATTATAATTTCATCTCCGTCCATCGCTAACTATTAGTTCCAATATTGAAACATTTTTAACAGATTTCATAATGAAACAAAATTTTTTTGTACAGCATTTGTTGGCCTTATTTAGAAGTATAAAGAAAAAAAAAACATTGCTTTCCAATTACAGTTAAATTTTGTGCACAATTTTTAGTTAAAATCAAATACGTAAAGAACGAGATCTTCTTACTCAAGATGTTATGTTAACCTAAAATAACTTCTAGAAAACGTCGTGGTAGCGGAAACAAAATGCTATCCCCTACACTTAATCACAAATTTACTATTACCATCAATACCATCCAACATTTGAAATTTCAAGGAAATCTTTTTCCCGCTATAGTGAACTTAATTAGAAATTTTTGAAACAAATTGAATTTTTATAAAATTTTTATTAGAATTAAAAATATGACCATTTGGCTAACCTTTATTATATTCTTTAGAAATAAGTTGTGGAAAATATTCATTTAATTCTGATTTATTAAAATATTTATCTTTATCTTTACTACCACTTTGAAAAAAATTTTTGAAACTGC